GACGGTGATATCGACAGCAGCGTTGTGGCGGTGATCAGCAGGAGGACGCACATGCGACATAGAGCATGTGAGGGACGATGGGTCGTCCATACTTACGATCTGACAGATCTGCACTCATGAAGCAGGTGAGATATTGAGTGATGGAGCCAGCAACGGTGAGTGGCACTCAATCTTAGTACTAGGAATGGAGCTGGCGCTAGAATTTGGCTTGTAACTCTAGTAGTAGGGCCCGGAGATCGACTTAAGGTCCAAAGTATTGGTCGAGGGATGTCCAGGCAGGGGAGAGTGTCACAGACCGAATCCAGCCTCCTTCAGGTGCACTCGTTGAGGGATCTCGCCACTGAACCTCAACACTCAGTCGCATCCAACACCACCAGCATGTCATGAGGGAGGGAGGGAGGGAGGGAGGGAGGGAGCATGCAGTCAACGATACCTGACGTAGACGAACAAGATCAGCGCCATCAGCGTGAGGACTCCGGTCACTTGCTTCAGCACCCCCAGGGAAGACTCCAGCTGGAGCGCCAGCTCGGGGAAGGTGCTGAGGATCTTGAGGAAACGGATGAGGCGGAGGAGGCGAAAGGAGCGGAAGACTCGGAGAATGCTTCCTCCCGAGCTGCACTGATCGTACGAGTCCAGCTGGTCTACGCACGTGAAGTCCTGGAGGTCAACCGGGAGGAGGAGGAAGCAGACGATGACGACGAGGAGGTCGAGGAGCCTCCAGCGGGTCTGCAAGTAGTACCAGGGGCCGTGAACGAGAACACGCACGATCATCTCCAGCAGGAACACAGCAGAGACCAAGAGGAACCCCCCAGCGAGGGAGACTTTGAACCTGAAGTAGTTTGCGTCTGATCCCCACAGTCTTCCTGGCGTCGACTCTCGCTCGTGCTGCAGCGCCAGCAGCAGGCCGTTGAAGAGCGTGGCGAAGGCGATGAGAGCCTCGAACCAGGCGGAGGAATCGATGGCGACGAGTCCCCTCCTGCTCATGGCGATCACCCGAAACTCCCGCAAGGTGGCAGCTATCTCAGCATCTCCCCACGCGTTCTCTTCCCAGTCCTTGTCGTAAAGCAGCTGCAGCAGGTCGCTCCTCATGCTCTCCGACACCTCCTTGAAGATCACCTTCCATACCTTCACGTGCGAATGCAGGGCGAACAGCCGAGAGTCTCTGCCCAGCCTCGGGTGCGTGGCCATGAGCAGGGTCACCTTCATCTCCAGGCTGAACGCATCCTCTGCCAACTTGAGCCGCAGCCGCCGCGCGTTTCTGCGCTTGAGGTAGGCAAGCTTGCTGGCTTGCGTGCCGTCGAAGCAGAAAGTGAAATTCCTCCAACCCTCGTAGGCGGTTCTCAACTCCCTCCTATGCCGCAGCCACGCGAGCCCGCCCAGGGAGCCATTCCGGGCCAGCCTCAGCATCTTGTAGTTCTCGAACCACAGCTCGAAGCAGCTCCGCTCTAGCTGGAAGGACCAAGAAAGAATCACGTCCCGCACCCTCCGCCTCCTCTTCTCGTTTTCGATCTCCCAGAGTTTGTACGCGACGACGGCGAGAAACAACTGCCAGAAGCTCAGGGACAGCAAGGAGAGGAAGCAGCAGCGTACTTTCAACACCATGAAGGGCCCGGTGATGAGGATGACAACGATCAGGATAATGGCGAGAGGAGAGTACGCGTCGATGATTTGATCGCAGATCGCTCCCCATCCGTCTAACATGAGGATCTGAAACAGAGTCATGAAGGACGCGACCTGCGCTGGCGTCACTCGGAGACACGGCAAGAGACAGGAGCTGGAGCGCACGTAGTTGTCAAACCCCAGGTAAGGGTTCTGATTGACTTGTGCGATGCAGGAGTACCCGGCCGGGCAGGCGAAGAGGCCCGGGGAGACAGACCCCTGACTCGACACTCAGCAGGAGCGCAAGAGAGCCTCTTCTCTCTCTTCCCTCTCACCTGCAGGGTGCAGGTCCTGTCGAAGCCGTAGAAGGGAAGGAGGTTGCCAAAGCGCTGGCCCGTCTCGACGCTGAAGCAGCGTCTCCTCATGATCCCCTGCCATAGTTGGATGCCGATGGCCCCGTAGAGGACGGAGAGGATGAAGAGCATGAGGAGGATGGTCTTGAGCAGCGGGATGGTCCTGACTATCAGCACCAGCAGCTCCTGCAGGTGATTGAACCGCGTGATCGTCCGCAACGGCCTGAGCACCCGCAACGATCGCAAGGCAGACACAGAGCTGGACGAGAGCCCAGGAAGGAAGTCGAGGATGCCCAGAGCGACGATGAGGAAATCCACCTTGTGCCAGTTGCTGACAAGCAGTCAGGGGGCAGGACAAGAGCGGCAGGCAGCAGACCTTCTCAGGTACGAGTTACTTCCCGCAAAGTAGGCTCCCTGGGCGATGAAGGATATGAGCAGCTCCCAGGCAAACAAGAAGCTGAAGGCTTTGATTCCATCCTCAAGCGTTGTCCTCCGCGAAGAGTTCGGCATGGTGCTGGGGTCGTCGAGTGGGTCGTAGATGGCGAGAAGCAGCGCGTTGCTCAGCACCAGCCCTAAGACTATGCTGCTCCACAAAGGCCACTCGACCAGAAAGATGCAAAACCTGCGGATCAGATAAGCCAAGGTTCGGAGCCTCGAGGAGCTTTCAGACGGCTCCTGCTGAACAGCTCAACGTCACCCCGCGCGGCCAGCACAAGGTCTCACGAGGGGAAACAAGAAGAGCGTCCTCGAGTGATACTTGCTGGGGTCCGGCCTTCCGAGCCTTCTGACTAGATCGACATTCAAGAGGAGAGCGGTTGAGACAGTCTTTCCCAGCTCATCTGGTGGGAAGCGTCACCGACCCCCGACAACAGCTGCAGTCAACGGACGGAAGAGAAGCCGGATCTTCTTGACGACATAAAGGTCGTTGAGGTCGCTGACAAAAGACTTGAAGGTGTATCGCTGACTACGGATGAACTCCTACCAGCTCGCAGTCATTCAGGGCTGTCGACTCATTGGTGATACCTTTTCTGCTGCGATGGTCGTGTAAATGCTGTTGCCGACAAGCTCAAAGTTTTGTGTAACTTTCCGCAGCAATCTGACACGGTCTACCCTGTGGTGGAGTTGGTTTAGTCAAGTGTACGGGCGATGGATGAAGATGAAGATACAAGTGTAGAAACGATTCTTCACTCGTTTAAAAGCACCTGACTGTCTCTTCGTCGGGTTCAACTCCAGTGGTTGTGGAAGATTCCCGTCTTGACCTTCTCTCTCGATTCTTGAGATCATGCGAAGAGGTCTCTTGCTTTAGCTTCTTCAAGAACTCTGTCGCTGTGACAGATTCCTCCTGTTTCATGCTATCTGCACGCTCATCCGTCCTGGAGAGACAACATGTATCAAGTCAACATGATCGCCCCGGCGTTTGAGTGAAACCTTCGTTGGAGGGAGCTGCGGCGATAGTACTTGGAGTTCTTCACTTCGTCAGACACCCATGGCCTTTTGGCCGCATGCTCTTGCAATAGAAGGCCAGTCGGAGACAGCAGGATCGCAGGCTCAGGCTCCTTTGGATGGTCCCTGGCCTCCCCCTCTGTTTGCACGAAAGCAAGTTCTGCTTGCAGTGGCGCCGGACGATGCGAGCGACGAGACGACATGGCTACTCCTCCTCTTCCCCCCCCCTACGCAGCTCCTCCTCTCCCCCCCCCTACCCAGCTCCTCCTCTTCCCCTGCCTCTTCCCCCCCCTACCAAGCTCGCCATCACACGGTTTCGAAAGTCAAGTTTGAGGTCCGTTTTTTTTATTGACTCGAGCCCGCCTCGGTCGCTATGGACGGGGCGAATGGCGGGAATGCGACGAGGGCAAGATGGACGATGGTGAGGTCGAGGAGGAAGCGAGGAAGCAGCTGAGAGGACCAGGAGGGGGAGGGAGAGGACGAGGGTGTGCCTCTTGCTGCTGCGACTCTGACATAGCGCAGCATGTTGGCACCAGACGATCCTGGCGTTATCTGATGGTTTGAAAAAGAGCGAATTTTGAAACGATGGCAAAGTCGTCGAGTAAATCAGCCGCTGAGATGCAGGCAAAGGGCCTAGCAAAAGAGGTCATGCACAATCTGATTATCCTTGCTTCTCAAACCATATCAGAATGAGCATCTGAAGATTGAAAATGTTCAAAAAGAAGACGATATCAAGAGAATGGCTTCGAAACTTCAAAAGATTGAGGCAGTAAGTGCACACCTTCAATGCTGACGACGACACTCACACTATCGAAGGACATTGCGATGTATATGAGGAAGGACAGAGCTCGAGGCGTGGACACCAGGAAGCAAGACCATGGTGCGAAACTTTGAAACATCAGGATGCCGATGAAGTTCACGCGCTTCTCTCAGACAAGTCAAGCGCACGTTTGGAGCTCGCAGTCGCCGAGAAGACGAAAGAGATTGAGAACATCTCTCGACAGGTCTAGTCCTTTGCATGTTCATAACTCCTGTGGCATTTCATGGAATGTTTGAATGTTCAAATTTGTTCCTAAACCAGATCCTTCTCCTGAAGTATGCCCCCGAAACATTCAAGGCCCAGCCAAAGAAAAGCCAGTGGTCACACTGTGAGGAGATTAAAGCTTGTAATCCTGTGATATCTCCCAAGCTGACCGCGATCCTCCTACTGCAGGAAACGACAAACAAATCCAACAAAACAAGTCAAAGAAACCCGAATCCCAGTGCCTGCATCGCAATCCGACGTATTCTCAGCCGCTGCTTTTCTTGCGCTAAATCGAATTGAAGCAGACCGACTGGATTGGCAAGATGAGCAAGAGCGAACAGTTGAAAATGATCGAAACTTTGAAGATTGAGCTGCAGAGGTTTGCCTTTCATGCAAGCAAAGCCAATACTCATTTCAACAACATCAGAGCGACAGAGCGTCTGAACATCATACAAGAAACGGTGAGACAACTTGTACATAATGTTGATACGTGACTGCGAATGGTACAAGCAACGAAAGAATCAAGATGGGGACAGTTTGCGTTCGATCACAAGGTACTTGCTTTTACGTAATATATTTCTACTGTTAAGCAAGGACAAAGTCGGAAAGGATTTCAATTGGAGGACTTCAAGAAGGAGATACAAAATTTTGTTTCCAATCAAGTATGTAGAATCTAACTGCCCGCCTGAAGAATGAGTGTGCTTACTCCATTACCGCAGGCACTGCTAGACGCGGAAGAAGAAACTTTAATACTTTCCATTCAAGTATTTGATGTCCTTGCTTGCATTCGATTGGGCATGCTGATGCTTGCTTCATTATCATTCTAGTCTGAAAAAAAGTCGAAAGATCAATTGGAAGTTGAGGTTTGCAAACTGAAATCGAATCCATTTTTGATAATTCCTCGCGTTCAACTCAGGTTGATAGGCTCAAGACAGAACTTGCAAAGATCAAGAGCCGAGGAGTAGATGTAAGATGGGCTGACACTGACCTTCACCTTGTGACGTCGATGTTGTAGCTCGTGCATCAACAACAGATCCTTGAACTGCGGAAAGATGAGCACGAGAAACTAAACCAACACGGTGAAACTGTCCTAGGCCTATGCATACTTTGACTCGATGGAAATAGTCCAGGATTTGAGAGATGAAATCGAGAGTTTGGAAGCTCAGAACTCAGGTGTCTCAACATCTACAAAGAAGTTCTCGTGATCTTGTTTGGCATCAACAGCGTTGAGACAGAATGCCTTCTCAGCTGGTCACGTTAAAGTGCACGCACGAGTGCTTGGAGGAAAAGTGCAGGAACTGAATGAAGAATTGGTAGACATAAGGTGCGTCAAAGCGAGATTGATTTCGCAATCTTATGCAACGAGGAAGGAAACGAGCGCAGGACTTGCAGTCCATCAATGATGCAACTGAAAAAGAGAAGTAGCAGCAAGAATTGTGTTGCTAATTCACTTGACATGAACCAAATTCAGAAATCTAATAGAAGTTGATGGCGAGGAATCGATTGCTAGATTGAAAGCGGTGTGTAATGTCTGTGGTCACATTGTTGTTCCAATTCACGCTTGAAATTCCAGAGATCAGCAGAAGTGACTGCAAAAATCAAGTTGTTGGATCGGCAGGTCTGATGACTTTGGTGGTGTGGGTTCTCTTTCTGAACAACAAGCTAGATTGAAACCATGCAAGAAAGAAAAGAAATCCTTCTAGGCAGCAGCAATGCGGTTGTTCTTCCCTGAGAAACATCATGACGATGACGAGTTATGTGAAAAGAACTCCCAACCAAAGATGAACGACAAATCAGCGTTGGAAGCTAAAAGACTGGCGCAGAGATCTGGTACTCCCTTGTACCTGCGGAAGCAGGTCTCGGCATCTCAACGCTTGTCCCTCGCCGCCTTGACTCGGATGGGTCGCAGGGGAGCTCAGAGTCGGATGAGTCAACTGCCCTCAGCCAGGAAGTTCGTCGCCTCACTCTCGAAAACAACTGGCAACGCCGTGAAACGAGTGAGTGCTTCTTGTGAGGATCGGCACGTGTCTTGACCGCATCAACAGATAAATTGAAAGAGATGCTGAGGTTGCAGGTAAGATGAAGTGTTTATGAGAAACACTTGCGTTGGTTGCCTATCGGTCCTTACGACACTGATCAATTTGTGAAGGAACCACTTGAACTGCACAGAAGCAGACTGTCAAATAGAGAATCGAAAGAAGAAGAGAAGTGAAAGCTGCTGTTTCAGAATTTGTGTTGAAACTTATGGCGCTGTCAGGCTCAGACAAGTCCACATGAAGAAAGTGACTTACTTGCAAAGAAAGATTCTCCAAGTCCAGGTGGAAGACACGGCCTTATGAGCCTGAACAAGTAAAACTTCTGCACAGGATAGGATTGATCAAATGAAGGAAGTGGTCACACATTCGAGATCTGACTCAACGAAGCAAAAAGGTCTCGGTGAGTCAGTTCCAACGTTTGATGTTGAGTGATGTGACAGGGCTGAAACCGGCTGACTTGAGCATGTTGACGGGTGACATTCACCGTCATGGGCTGAACCTTACTCACGACTCTTGATTGTACTTGACTTGCAGGTAGAGCCATCTTCGCCATAGATCTGCAGGGTCTTGAGATAGACAGGCACTTGGATTCGATAATGGACACAGCAGATTTACTATCTCCTCAGGAGCAACGAGATGTTCCGGTCGATTGAACCAACAACCATGCTGGCAATCGACTTCTACCTGCATGACACACAGGTGCTCCGACGAGGAGGCTGGAGAGGTCAAGTCACGCTTCTTGTACAGTTTGGAGATCCTGTGAACGGGTGCAATCCACAAGTGAAGATGCGAAGAGACCTGGAGGTCAGCAGACGCTTTACCGAGATGAAAGAGGCTGAAGATGGCTTGAAGGTGGTGGTGGACGACATGCTGATTGAATTCTTGTACTCCGAGAAGCTCCTCGTTCACTTGATCAACGTCCAAGGCACGGACTTTGAAATTATCGCCAGGTAGTTCTCGATGAAAGCCTTCCAGTCTTTCTCGAATGACGTTTGATTGACAGTGGAGCGGTCTCCATGAATGATTTCGTGTTCAAGGTTGGAATCGCAGAAGTGTCTTACGACAAGGTTTCCTTATGTTGATTGCATTATTCCTGCCCTAATTTGTGGTCGAACTTTAGCTGCCATTACGGAATGTGAATGGAACGACCATGGCAACTGTGAATCTGAACGTGTCTTTGCTGGGAGACATCTCAAGAATGGTATTCATATCGTGTTTCCTGTGCATTCTGTGAGCAAAGCAGGCGTCTCAGTTTCAAGCCTCTCTGTCTTCGTCCCCCACCATCAAACAAAGCAAGGTTTGACGCAACTTCGATCTGTACTTTCATCCAAATTCTGGCCAGCGCTCAACGATTCGCCATCTGTATGAAGACTTCCCGCGAAAGACGAATGCAACGTATATGCTTGTTGTGAAGGTGATGATTGATGTGACATTTCGACGAGTGATTTGCCTTCGTCAGATCAAATCAGTTGTGGGACTGGAATCACGGTCCGTCTCGTTTGACAAATCCAAGTTTGGAGCGGTGCAAAGAAAAGTTTCCGGTGAGATGATGAGGCTTTGGTTCGAACTCATTCCTCGGCAGTCATGTTCCAAGTCCTTGATTTCCCGGTTGCTGAGACGAGAACGGTCCCAATCATCGAAGGGTCGAAGGTTTGGGGGGGGACGTGACGTGATTGAGAATGAGACGCGGTTGCAACAGAGCTCTTCCTTCGATGACGAAACAAAATCTTTTCCCATCCCTACAGATTCAAGTTGGAACCAGAGGTGCGATGAAGCGAATATCTTGACAGAATCTCACCCACATGGTGTGCAGACTTGTTTCAGGACATGTGGAATTCTTTGTGCTGGACAATTCAGGCAAGTCGGAATCTGCTGCAGTTGCGGCTGTGACTGGAGTACAGAGTTTGTAAGCGACGACTACATCGGCTCTTGTCGATTGAGGTGAGCAGAGGAGATCAGATTTGATGTGGAGGGAGGAGATCGGATCTGATGTTGAATGGGTGGCAGTCTCGCTCCGCTCTTCTCCAAGCGAGGGCTGCACTCGGACCTCAAGATTCGAGACTCTCATAGCCAAGTGGTCTACCTCGTGCTCTGTTCCCGCTGACTGCATCGCAGCGGGGAGTTCTGGAGGTGGAGGTGTCTTGGGAGGAAGAGCCGCTACATGCTGGTACCCGCGGGTCTTGTGCGCCGTCCGATCGTAATGCTCGATGATAAAGGCGACCGGGAAATGGACCAGGAGGCGATTAGCTGCCTTGAAGCTCTCGTGAAGTACCCGATGACCCCGGCATGGTCGAAGCCTCCGATCGTCTGATCACGTCCTTGCAGATGGGTGGAGCATTTGGGGCTCGGGAGTGTGGAGCTAGCGGCTCAAGCGCTGTTTGAAGTGAGTTGTGAGGTCTTATCTTCCACCCTTGATCCTCGGCAGTCGTGGGAGAGCAGAAGCATCGAAGTTTTGTCAGAGGGCTTCAGCAAAGAGACTTGGATTTCATACCTGAGCGAGGATAAAACAATCTTTGAACGGTGAAGGGAGATTGACTTTCTTCGCTCCTTACCATCAGCTCGATCAGACTCAAATTAGCAGAATTGCACTACATCTTTGATTATCTCACCAAATCATCGTCAAGTATCCCGTTTCGGTTCCTGGGGAACACCTAAATAGATATTGCAGGTGAACAATCCAGAAGGTTGTCCAAGGCGACATTCTTGCATGCAATCTGCTTTCCTACACATGCTGTGGGAGACAAAAGGGAGTGTCCTATCTGCAAACAAGGGAAGAGAGAGGCAGTCGCTGAGGTATCAGACTCTCTCGCGACCCTGCTCGTTCACCCCCTCGATTGCAGAGGACGTCGGATCTCTCGGGCGATGCTCTATCGCTGCATATCAGACAGGTCTCCCCGTCTTGTCTCTCCTCGTCCTCACTCCGTCTCAGGTCAAGTGCATGGACGCGCTTCTGAGAGAGGACTCGATTAAAGAGCTTGCCTTGCGGGTGAAGTCTCAGTTTACAAGGCAACTCCCTGACTTCAAGGAAGGTCCTCTGCCTCCGAGGGAAGCTCGATAAGGTGGACTCGGAACCCTTTGACAACAGGCAGAAGGACGTCGGCGAGTTCTTGTCTCACTCTGCTCGCAGCAATGTGGCTGGAGGGTTCGTAGCCGTCGGGAAGACCTGGGGAAGCTCGGAGAAGGAGAGGCTGAGGTTGCTGTGTCCTCCGCCCGCCTGTTGTTCACCCATCGACTCCCGCAGCATGAAGAAGATGCTGCAGGAGGAGAGAAGCATGGAAGAGCAGGTGGCATCGCCAGGCGTGAGGCCAAGCAACGAAGAAGCTGATGTTTCCTTGTAGTTGATCGAAGTCCAGCTGATCAGACACTCAAGCCCCATGCCTGACAGCCTCCAACCGGAGCAGCTCCTGGTAGTTGATCCATGTCTCCCCTCGCTCATATTTCTCATCTCATCTCTCTGGCTCCTCCCATTCCTCTTCTCAGGCTTTCCATCGCTTCTCTCTCGCCGACATCGCCTCTCACGACCTTGGCGATCTGACCGTCAAGTTCTTCTCCTCCGCCGCCATCGGTCGGGTCGTGTGGAGGTTGTCGGGTCGCGCTGACTGCTGGTCAGGCCGGTGGAAGGAGGGTGAGCATCTGCTGGAGGCGAAGGTGGACATCGTGGGAAAGAAATTCTTGAATTATCTAAAGAGCTAAAGGACAAAAAAAGGTTGATGAAATGTACAAGAGACCCCACATCATGAGGGTCGCGATGCGCCCAGCTCTAGGACAGGAGCGTCGGCACTGTTCTGCCTTGACGGGATCTCCTCTGGAATCTCGTCGTTTGCAGCAGCTGGACGAGGAGGCGGGTCTTGGCGAGCAGAGACAGGAAGACTCTGCACTTGGTCCCCCTGATCGTCTTGCGCTCCTCGTGAGAGAGGAAGGCTCGTCACATCCTCCTCGGCCTCCTCTTCCTTGGGCTCGGACAAGGGCAAAGACATGACCGTCTCCTCTCTGCCCTCCTTCTCACCAGCCGCATCATCAAACGACAGGCGATCGGCCTGCTCCTCCTCGAAATCTCCTTGAGCCTCAGCGCTCTCTTGCGAGACCTCTCCTCCGCCCTTACCGGACTCGTCATCTTCGAACGAGCCGAATGACTGCAGCGCTTCTCCTGTCAAGTCCACGTCGCTCCCCGCTGCCTCTTCTCCCTCCTTCCCGGCTCTACCATGCTCTACCAACCCAACCTCGACGTCCTCCTCTTCCCCTCCTCCTTCATCAACCTCTAGCGCTTCGAATTTGCTGCTCTCATCGCCTCTGCGTGAGCCTCCATGCACGTCCTGCAACGTCGGTGGCTTCACCCCGAAGATCTCCTGGTAGTCGCGATCCTCCGCCTGCTCCTCCGGGTTCATCTCGGAGTTCGAGGGAGACTCCGGGAGGGAGGACAGGGAGGGGAACTTGTGCTCGAACCGGATGTGACTGAGCGGCTCCTCCGTGACGATGGACGGAGGGTCCACCCTGATGCACAAGTCAGTCTAGCAACAGCAGGAGGGGGGAGGAGGGCCAACCTGTACTGCAGGTACGCGAAGTCCTTGGCAGGCTCCTCGAGCTGGTCTGAGGCGCCGCTTCTCCTCTCCATCTGGGCATGTTGGACGACTATGGTCGCGTTCCTGAAGGTCTCAGGGTCCTTGAGCTGCCACCACCGTCACTTCACCCTCCCACCCATGGCAAGACGCACCCGCTGCATCTGCTCAAACTGCTCCCTGATGACCGACTCCAGAACCTCCATCTGCTTCGCATGCTCGGACAAGCTGCTGTTGGTGACTCTCTTGAAGTCGCTCAGGCTCCCTCGGACTTCCTCCAGCTCGCTCATCGTCTTGCTGTTGATCGAACGGGCACTGTTGAGCGAGGAGTTCAACTTCAGCTCAACCTAGTCGACACGTCAGAAATGGAAGGCAGCGCCTACACATTCATCACCTTCGTCTCCAAACTCTGAAGCTCTTGCTTGTTCTCATTGATCTTCACCCGAAACTCTCCAATGGATCCCAACAACTTCGATCGTGAGTCTTCAACGTCTCTCTTGAACTGCTCGATCGACTTGTTGGTCTTGTCTTCAAGCGCTGTGTACTTTCCCCATACTTTCCTCTCAGTTTGACGGATGACGTCTTCACAATCTCTCAGTCTAGAGCTCAAACCATCTCGTACAAGATGATCCTGAGCGATCTGCTTGGAAAAATCACTTCGCAATCGACTCTCGAGAGCGACCAGCTGATCCTTCAAGCCCTTCACGTCATATTGTACAGTCGACTTGATTTCTTTGATGCTGTCGCCTTGTCTTTCTTGGATGGTTTGAAGCCTTCGAATGCTTTCTTCCGTCTTCTCCGTCACTAGTTTCAGGCCCACGGTCGCCTCTTCCTGTAAGCTCAGCGCCAGTCGCTTCAGCTCGCTGCCCTCGTCTTGCAGCTTGTTGGAGAGTAACTGAGCTGCAGCGCTCTTGTCAGAGATTTGTCGTAGAGCATCATTCAGCGTCTGACTGAGACGGTTCTGGTCCTGGTTGTAGCTTGCTACCACGCGATCGAGCTTCCAGGAGAAAGTTTTCTGCAACTCCTCTCGGGCCAGGCGTTCAAAGCGAATGTCCTCAGTGATTTGATCGCGAAATCTTGAAATCTCGTCCCTGGACTTGTCAGCATTGTCGCTGTCGCTTCTAATCGCCTCGATGGTCTCTGATCGAACTCGTTTGAGAGCTTCTGACTGCAGCTGGGACTCTTGCTTCAGAAGGTTCTTGGTGGAGACGAACATGTCTGACAACTCCTGACGCACCTCAAAGTCCCCACGATTCCTCTCTTCTGTCTCCTTCTGCAACACTCTTTCAAGCACGAGAAACCTCTCCAAGTTTTGTTGATGTTGTAGTTTGAACTCTTCTTTCATCGCCTTCACTGACTTTTCCACCTCCTGCAGCATACCCTGGTTTTGTTGAAACATGGTGCCTTTATCATCTTTTGTGCGTGATTCCACGTTTCGGATCAAAGTGTCTGATTGAGATATCCTATGGCTCATCAAGTTGAGTTCATTCGACAGATCTCTTTTTGCTGATTTCAGATCGTTGTTCATCTGTTCTTTCAGCTTTGAAACCTCGTCAAGGGCATCTTTGACAGAGTTTTCCAGCTCGACGTTTCGGTGCTGTATTGCATCAGAGTTCTTGGCTTCTCTCTTGTCGAGATTTCTCAGTTTGGATTCCAGGACTTGATGCCGCATATCTGCCCCATCCAACCGATGATAGCAAACCTCTTCGACCCGCTTCACGTCATGCTGCAACGACCTCAGCTGTTGCTTCATCTCCATCATCAGTTCTATCATAACATTTCGTTCTGAGAGAGGGCTCTCTACCCGCAGGATCCTGCCGCCGCCACCTCCTCCACCCTCCATGTCATCTTGCATGGCGCCCATCGGCCGTTATAAATTTGTCACCCTCGTCCCCTCTCGTGCCCAGGTCCTGTCAGACTTCAAGCCCCGGGCCCGGGGTTCAGAAGTTCAATCGCCAGGGCTCGGAGTTCTCAGCCCGGGCCCGGACTCGGCCCGACTCAATCACTGAGCTATTTGTGTCACTTTACAGTAAATAATGTTAAAAAAGTTACATGGTTCTAATCTACACCAGGGCTCCACGTGTCGTCGTAGTTTTCAAAGTCTTGGGCGTTCAGACGAGAGTTTCCTCCGACAAGGAGCATGCAGGTCTTGAACAGCAGCAGCTGCCCCTGCGCCCTCCGCAGGAATGTCTGATTGCCGTCAATCGCAACTTTCTGCCACCCGAGCCCGTTGTCTGCTGAGACCCACACGTCCGAGAAGTAACGATCCCAACTATCGTACCCGCTGATCAGCATCAGATTCCCATCTGCTGTCTCTGAAAGCTGCGAGAACACCCTTCTCGGCCATTGGCTGCTGTTGGTGACCTCCCGCCACGTCAGACCCAAGTCGATGGACGCCCAAACGTCGTTACGGTTGGGCCGTTCAGCACACGTGGCGTTGAGCACGCAGCAATACTGGGGAGCAGCTCCTGAGAGGATCTCGCAGCCAGCAAGAGCGTTGTCATAGAGGACACATCCAGTCTCGCACGAGCTGCCTCCCAGCACGTAGATGCTCGGAACTCGCCTGCTCTCTGTGATGAGGCTCGGCAACGGCCTGCAACACTGGAGGTCAGGCACGGCAGCTAACGGGCACCCTCACCTTCTCACTGGCTGCATGTAGAGCAGCATCGCAAAGCCGTACCGCCCGGGCCATGGAGCAGCGGGCAAGACCTCGAACCAGTTGGAACCTCCGTCGGTAGACTGCCAGACGTCGCTCAGCCGTGGATTCGGTTCGTAGGAGATGCCGCCGGATATGATGAGACGGTTGGAAAACCTTCCGAGAGAGGTCAGCAAAGAAGCAGAGGAGGATGAGAAGGCTCTACCTAGTCAGCCCGAACCAGCAGCGTGCGGGGAAGGACTGGTTTGCGATGACCTGTTCCCAGCTCCTTCCGTCATATGAAATCCAAATGTCGTTGAGGTACTCGTTCTGCCCCCTCAACGTGGCTGTCCTCCCCCCGATGACCAGGAGGCTGTGATTGAAGTCTGGACCCAAGGCCACCATAGAGTGACCCTCCCTAGGCGACCAGGACGCGGAAGGAGTGAGCAGCGTGTAGGAGACTCCGTCCTTGGACTCATAGACGTCATTGAAGAACTGCTTCTGGTCGAACCCTCCCGCGAGAATGATCTTTTCTGTATCATTCAATTCAATCGGTGAGATTCCACTGACGGTTATCTTTGTCCCGTCGACCCCGAGGAGGTCGTAGTTGCTCACAAGAGTTATCACGATCTCGTTCCAGCTCAGCGGCATCGCTGATGTCTGCCCGACGTTGCGGACGATGAACGAGGGTCCTTCCACCCGCATGGGTTTGCAGTCATCCGCGCTGGTGAAGGGAGCGCTGCAATCCGAGCTTAAGCTCATTCCTTCCAATCCTACGGAGATTCCAAGCCCATTCAGCGCGACCTGCACGGAACTCGGATGTTGTTGGCCATTGATGGGATTGAGCAGCAGCAGCTCGAGGTAGTACGGGACATACCGTTGTAAGGTCTTAGTGACGTTGAGGCGAGCAGTACCAGTCGAATGATTCCAACTATCGATGATGAAGATGTCTCCGTCTGAAGACACTGGGATCGAGGAGTCCTTGGAGTCACTGCCAATCAGACCGCTGATAGTCAATTGACTTCGCGCCCAATCGGGTACATCAAAGTTAAGCGCAATGGTTACGCTGACGGTGTTGTTCGCCCCGGGGTATGGACTCGATTGTCCTACCTCCTTCGTGATCAGCCCCGGGCTGTACACCTTCATCGGCCCTGCGTCCCCTGCCCTCGCTCCATACACCCTCGGTACCGTGATCCCGTCGGGCTCCATGCGCTCCGCCGACAAGTCTTGATCGCAGCCTGACGTGTAGACGTACACGTCTTGAGCTGCCTGCCCGACCCTCCCGTTGACCACTGTGAACGAAAACACCACTCCCGTGTCCGGCGCTATCTCCGCGTTGCTGGCCAGCTCCACCGCCAAGATCCCTCCCTGCACCTGCCACCTCCCCTGCCCTCGCAAGACCCCGGCGACCGGGTCCAGCGATGAGACCGTCATGCTGGCAGTGTCAGCCGTCTGGCTGCCGTTGAGGCCGACGATAGAGATAGTGCAGACAGCTTGGCTGGAGTGTTTCAAAGTGACGAAGGAAGCCAAGGTGACAGTGAGAGTATTGTTTGCCACAGGGTAGGGGCTGGACTGACCGATGTTGCGGAGAGCCCACACGGGACCATAGACCTTGAGAGGGGAGGCGTCACCGGGGGAGCTTCCTAGGATGGGAAGCGCCGACTGATTCTTGTCGAGGATCTCAGGAAGGGAGGTGAGCGCTCCTGCAACCGATATACTGACTGCCGGGGACTCCGTCGCATAAGTTGGATTGGTGAGGAAGAAGTAGACTGATATCAAAGTCGCGGCAGGAAGGTCAGATTGAACTGAGTAAGGGATGACAACTTTGCCTTCCACCTTGTTCCACACTGCGTTGCCTGTGATGGTGTTGCCATTTATCGACATGTTGTAGCTCAGATATGTGGCATCTGTAGCTGAGCCCACAAGACCGGAGCAGGTGAACGTCAAGTTCCAAGAATTAAACAGTGGGATGTTGAAAGCAAGGTAGAGCGAGATGAGGTTTCGTTGGTGAGGTACACAACTGCTCTGACTGATCAACTTCACGACCAAACCAGGCCCCTGCACTCTGAATACTCTGCAATCCCCTGGCTGAGCTCCTATGACGGTCGGAGAGCAACTCTGAGACTCGTTCATCTGAACGAATCCCAGGTCAAAGTTTGAGTTGCCGACTTCTATCCAAACGTTTGGAGGTTGTAGTTCAGAGGATGGATTCGTGAAATAAAACGAGAAGATTAGGAGCTTTCCGCTGGGCAGTTCGGAACCACCCAACATCTCGATCGTGATCGTCCTGTCCGTCTGATTCCACCTCCCGTCTGCTCCAAGAATCGACGGAAAGGACTCAACCGGAAAGTTCCAGGCAGGACTAGCCAACGGACCAACAGAGAAATTGATTGGCGAGACGAGCAGCCTGATACTCTCAGATCCTCCCAAAGGAACAAGTAGAGGAAAGTTGAGCGCAATGGTTACGCTGACGGTGTTGTTCGCCCCGGGGTATGGACTCGATTGTCCTACATCCTTCGTGATCAGCCCCGGGCTGTACACCTTCATCGGCCCTGCGTCCCCTGCCCTCGCTCCATACACCCTCGGTACCGTGATCCCGTCGGGCTCCATGCGCTCCGCCGACAAGTCTTGATCGCAGCCTGACGTGTAGACGTACACGTCTTGAGCTGCCTGCCCGACCCTCCCGTTGACCACTGTGAACGAAAACACCACTCCCGTGTCCGGCGCTATCTCCGCGTTGCTGGCCAGCTCCACCGCCAAGATCCCTCCCTGCATCTGCCACCTCCCCTGCCCTCGCAAGACCCCGGCGACCGGGTCCAGCGATGAGACCGTCATGCTGGCAGTGTCAGCCGTCTGGCTGCCGTTGAGGCCGACGATAGAGATAGTGCAGACAGCTTGGCTGGAGTGTTTCAAAGTGACGAAGGAAGCCAAGGTGACGGTGAGAGTATTGTTTGCCACAGGGTAGGGGCTGGACTGACCGATGTTGCGGAGAGCCCACACGGGACCATAGACCTTGAGAGGGGAGGCGTCACCGGGGGAGCTTCCTAGGATGGGAAGGATGGTGGTCTGATCACTTAACATGTCCTGCGGAGCAATGGTTGCTGAACCCGAGGAGCTGACGTAGAGCGTCTGACCCTCTTGCGCGCCTCCCAAGTTCCGAAACTTCAGCGAAAAGGTGTAAGCAACACCCGCGAGCATGCGGGACCTAGCATCTAAACTCAAGATCAGCGTTCCGTTTTCCTTTCTGAATACGGACATGTCGAATAGTGTGTTGTTGCGAGAGTCTAAGAAGGGTAATGAGGATTGAACAACCGCAGCGTGTCCACGCCTCGCAGCAAATTCAGAGGATGAAATCTGTTTCCAGGATTGAAGGTTCGAGCATCGACTTGAAGCTGCTTCTGGGGTGATGATCAAGAGCGGAGCATTGGCTCCCGGTATGAAGTCCATTGTATCATTCACGGTGGTCACACGAGTTGTCCTGATCGTCACGTTAGAAGTAGGTTGAAAACTTGAAGGATTTGTGAGATTGAAAGTGATGACATACACAGAGTTTGCAGACGATTGGGATCTCATATTTATCGTAAGCCTTCCCGATGTCTGATCAAACGATGCATACTCTTGAAATGGCGCGTCGTTACCGTACACTCGAATGCTCAGTCGATTGGTATTGTTCTGTAGCGTGCGTTTCAATCCTTCGATTACAAGCTGGCTGGAGAGGTCCAACGACATCCTCATTGAAATGGTCACCGAGATCGAATTCACGGCAGTCTTGTACGTCGTCGATTGGCCAATCCACTTATAAACAAATCCAGCAATGAGGAGTGGGGCAGAGTTTCCAGTTGCTGGAGAGACGCTGACTTGAGACACGTTCACGATCCCTGTCACAGCAACTGACAGCGATTGAGCGTCTTGGCTCACTCCTGAGTTCAAGACTCTGACTTGAAGAGTATACGTGACATCAGAATAGATTGATAGGAGCAGCGGGACAAGAACAACTCCTTGATCCACCCAGCGAGCTGAAGGACTAAAAGGATTAGTGGAGCTCAAGCTCGAAACAGCTAAAGTGTCCGAGGTCAAGATAATTCCATTTAGACCAGTGATCGTAAGCAAACCTGGGGCAGAGATTTCACAGTTCGGCTTCAGAGAGAACGTCAGTGTATTGGTCGCGAAAACAGACGGAGTACTCTGTGAGACAGAAAAGGATTTAAACCCTGCGATGAGGAGAGGAG